TATATATATATATATATATATATATATATATATATATATATATATATTATATAAGTATATAAAGGTGTTTTAAACCCTTCCTCTATGCCATGCAGAGCAGAGATCAGCTGATCAGCTGCAGGAGGAAGCTTCTTCCACAGCTGTGTGCTGCACACAGGTGCTAGATAAATTAAAATAATTTATTTTAAATAAAAATTCCATGCTGATTGTGTGGTTCATCGATCAATCAACCAACTGTGTGTCATGTCTAATGTTAGTTTGAAAAATTGCGATAGAGCGAGTCTGTGAAAAACAAACCGCGAAGTAGCGAGTGACTACTGTGTAAAGTTTCTCTTGTCCCGCCCATAACTTCTAACCTGCTCAAGATAATTTAATGAAACTACGTGCACATGCGTCATCACTACACCATATTCTGTACTATTATTCATTTTATTTTCACACCTTATTTTTTGCAGAGACTGCTATGATTTGTTTGTCTGATACAGTAGTCCCTTGATACTTCATGGTTCAACTTTCGCAGACTCGCTCTTTCGTGGGTTTTTAATGTACGATTGTACACGTTGTTTCCTGGTGGCCTGGCCCACTCAGTGATTGCTGAGGGACCCCCTCCTGTCTCTTCCTGAGGACGTCTGTCACAGCAGAGCAGAGAAACAACAGGTGGGTGCACGACCTGCAACAGACAGTCTCAAAAAGAGAAAGGAGGGGGCGGGGTCTGTTTTTCCCCATCACTGCTGTGGGAGCTTCGTGAGGTGGATATCAGAGTGAGCGGTATGGATTGTTTATTTAAAATAATCAAGCGTGAACTGAGCTGATCCTTTTCCTGAACTGGAAAATATCCCAGTGCTCCTGATGGTCAGTCTGCCCCCAGGCGCTTATTGGCTCAGTAACCATAGCATCAGTCTGTCTGCTCTCTTTCACTGTGCTCTTTTAGAGTGTTTAGGGAGTTTAGAACATTGTTAAGAACATTGCAAGAGTCTGGGAAGGGTTTATAAACCCTTAATATATAAATATAACATCCCTACTTCGCGGATTTTCACCTATCACAGGGGTGTCTGGAACATAACTCCCGCAATAAATGAGGGACTACTGTATTTCAAACTGTCTATTGCAGCTATGATAATACCTGCTCAGAATATCACGTCAGAAGATCCCAACTATTCCTTTACCACCTGTAAGATCAGACACAAGAAGTTCTAAACTTAAATCTACTTAATAAATGTGACTGTAATTGTACTTAAAGATGAAATGTGATACAGAATGTTGAAACCTGCTGCTCTTCAGTTCAGCAGTCTGTTGTTTGTTGCTTGTGTTGGGTTTGATAAAAGTGTCAGGGTCAGAACAGCATCAAGACTGGGTCAGGGTGAAATAAGACTGAAGAGTGTGTTGGTGTGCGAGAGTGACACAAACAACATGTCCGACAAAGACACTAAAACATCTCAATTTCATTGCATGATTCTTCTTGTGCACTGGTTTACCTGTCTACACGTTGAATAGCTTTTAAAGATTTACATTTCTTCAACTTGCCATTATATTAAATAGTTCCTGTGTCAGTCCACATTTGTTTCCTTCTCTGATCTAATAATACAATGTCTTGTGTCACACAGGGAGCCATATCAGCAGTTCTGACCAAATGTTCCAGCGATCAGGGTTTCATTCCTGTTAACAAGAACCTGTGGTAAGGGTTTTATACGTCTTATGATAAACACTTCCCCTTTGGTCTTTGTTTACTCAGTGCTTACAGACATCTACAGCCGATTAACTTTTTGAGTTAACCCAATTTAAGATGGTTGCCACAGTGACCTTGGCGAACACAAAAATCGCTGTAACTTACTGCTCTGTAGAGATATTGAGCTAAAATGTGTGCAGAATTAGCTGGGAGTCATTCCCAACAGTCAGAGCTAACAATTTAAGAATTTGCGATATGCATTCAGTTCAGTGGGGGAAGGTTAACCGTTTCAAAAGGTTACAAGTACTCATTGCAAAGTCATGAAGGGTGGACGAAAGAACAAAAATCACAAACTTAATAAAATCTGCATAACATTGTTTTCACATTATTGATTGTTGTCCTTGCATTTAAATTCATACGCAAGATTTGTAACTGCTAGGCGTTTGTTTACCTACAAAAAAATCTGAAGTGACTTAAAGTTAATTGATGTTAAATGAACTTTTTATCAGACATTTTGCATACAGTATTGGTTTACTGTGCTGACCTCATCCAACCGATTGAAGGTCAGTCATGTAACTCAAGCTTTGACTCAAAGCAGATCCAGGTGAATGCTTTGTTGATGTTGGGTGTGTACCTGCATTTCAGAATTTCTTTTAATATATCTGGAAAACCAAAGTAAACAATTTGAAACGGCAACTTTTTGAGGAAAAACTATGTTCAAATCCATACTTTGCAAGGAGTACCTTTTAGTACAAACCGGATTCCAAAAAAGTTCGGACACTAAACAAATTGTGAATAAAAACTGAATGCAATGATGTGGAGGTGGCAAACGTCAATATTTTATTTGTAATATAACATAGATGACAGATCAAAAGTTTAATCTGAGTAAACGTAACATTTTAAAGGAAAAATATGTTGATTCAAAATTTCACAGTGTCAACAAATCCCCCAAAAGTTGGGACAAGTAGCAATAAGTGGCTGGAAAAAGGAAATTGAGCATATCATGAACAGCTGGAAGACCAATTAACTAATTAGGTCAATTGACAACATGATTGGGTATAAAAAGAGCTTCTCAGAGTGTCAGTGTCTCTCAGAAGCCAAGATGGTAAGAGGATCACCAATTCCACCATTGTTGTGCAGAAAGATAGAGCAGCAATACCAGAATGGTGTTACCCAGCGTAAAATAGCAAAGACTTTTAAGTTATCATCATCAATCGTGCATAACATCATCAAAAGATACAGAGAATCTGGAACAATCGCTGTGCGTAAGGGTCAAGGCCGTAAAACTCTACTGGATGCTCGTGATCTCCGGGCCCTTAAACGTCACTGCACCTCAAACAGGAATGCCACTGTCAAGGAAATAACAGAATGGGCTCAGGAATACTTCCAGAAAGCATCGTCAGTGAACACAATCCACCGTGCCATCCGCCGTTGCCAGCTGAAACTCTACAGTGCAAAGAGGAAGCCATTTCTAAGCAAGCTCCACAAGCTCAGACGTTTGCACTGGGCCAGGGGTCATTTAAAATGGAGTGTGGCAAAATGGAAGACTGTTC